GCAGATCCCCCTCCTCACTCGCCAATGAAAGACATTTGTGCTGACCTGTAGCATGCATATATTTCATGAAAAAGCACATAAAATAATGATAATGCCAATAACTTTAACATTTTTAGGCTAAATATAAAATTATAATAAAAGTAAGAAATTAGATATGCATGTTATCCATAATAATCTACTTCTGTAATTGGTGGATAGGCTACTGATTTGTGTGTGTGTGAGGCGAGGGGAAGCTTCATACTTGCTTCATACACGAAATGTGGAACAATGGCAAATTCGCTCTTTTATTTTCTTTCTTGTTTGCTTACAAAAAAATACAAGCTTTTTCACTTCATACATGAACACGTACTTACAGATAATTAAATCATCGAAATGTAAAATATTCCACACAACCACAGGATTACAGGATTATTGACTTTATTTTCATTAACTACAGTTCTTAATACAACATATGTGTGTGTGTGTGTGTGTGCGCGTTTTTGTGACAAATGAGGACATAAATTTGTATAATGACAAGGGTATGACATAGGTATTACAAGGAGAAGGTGACTTTTCAGGACATTACCCCATGTCCCCACTTTTCAAAACGCATATAAATCACACAGAATGGAGTGTATTGAAAATCTGAAATAGCACAAAGTTTCCTGTGAGGGGTAGGTTTAGGGGTAGGGTTGGTGTAGGGCAATAGAATATACGGTCTGTACAGTAGAAAAACCATAACGCCTATGGGATGTCCCCACTTTTCACAAAAACAAACCTGTGTGTGTGTGTGTGTGTGTGTGTGTGTGTGTGTGTGTGTGTGTGTTCTGTTTTTGTGAGACCTCCATTGAGTATTTATTGCCTGCTGGTGAACAGGAAATCAAGCAGCCTTTCTTTATACATACTATTAAAACATTTTAAGGCTTTAAGAGCTTTTGAAGCATATATTTTTTGAATGTGAACATCCATCATCCTCCTCTTGACATCTAAACTCTCCACCCTGAGTACGGCCGTAGAATATAGCCATGTCTATTTATCCCTCTTTATAATGGACACTCTAAAATGTCAGCTGCCTCCACCATCAAGATCCCATTATCCTGAATGTGAATGTCCATCCAATATGAATGTAAATGACCATATAATTCAACATAAATATGAACATTTATGACCCTTTGCATGTGTAGCCTTGCTTTGAAACCGTGTTCACACTGTATTGCTGTATTCACACTATTTTGCATTCATGAAAAAGATTATTGAATTTACAATGGACATACACTTGGTCCCAGTTATTGTTTCAGTGTAGTTTCACTTGAGCATTGGACACAAACATACATATGTTTTTTATAGTTAATATAAAGAACTGAATTTAAAAATAAAAACTAAACTAAACATCGTAAATGCCTTGCCTGTCATCTGTATACAGTATATATAATATAATGTATGCTGTGAATACGTATGAAGAGGTTTTCACTGATAGTTCACCCATTTTTGCTGATGAACAAGATAATCATGTTTAACTGAAGTGTTTCATCTTGTAATTACTGTATAAACTACATTCTTTAGTTCTTTTCTTTGCAAATGAGGCACGTTAACTTCTCAGTCTCACCTCCCACCTCTGCAGAAACAGACTCTCCTCTCCATCCTTTTCTCGCTTTTTTTTTGCCATATTTTGCTGGCTGAAGTATAGTATATCCTGTCTGGATCCTGCACAAAAAATATTAGAATTAATACTGTACTATAGCCAGGGATTTCAAGGCAGGGACTATAATAAAAGTCAATACTAAATACACAGCAAATGAATGAATGAATCCTGGATGTTGCAGGCCAGATCTTTTTTTATATCTGACAGGTCTATGTGGGCTGTATTAAATAAAGTAGGAGGCAATGTTGGTATGCAGCCCACCGCCTGTTGTCCAGAAACTGGTGTAGTGCATTCTTATTTTCCTGGAAACTTGTGAATAAAACATGTCAGGACTCAACAATAAGGATTGTTTTATTATAATAATAATAATAATTATTATTATTATTATTATTATTTTCTAATGCTGGCCTGGCTGGGCCAGTATTTGAGATTAGCACTTGTCCTGCCAACATTTTCACTGGACACAAAATGAATATACATTTTGAGCAACAAATTATTGTATGCCTCAGAAAGAAAATATTTGGACAGCTGACATATACATTTGAATGTCTAGTCCACCTTAAGAGTTTTATGGCCCACCTTACATCTAGAACTGGAGCTGGACCCGTTTAAAATAGTTCTAGATAGGGTATAAGATATAACTACATACCTTTAGTTTAGTGACAAAAAAGTTTTAGTTTACATGAAAATACATGAATATGATCAGTCAATGCAGTACGTATTTGCAATGCAGCACTGGGCCAATATGGCATGTAACAGATTTGTCAGCTGGCCTGAAATGCTCTCACACTGGCCATGGGCCATCCTTATTGTTGAGCCCTGCATGTGCTTTTGTAAAATTCAGATATAATTGATTTTTTTTTCTAGTTGGAAAAATCAATTATATGTAATTTCTTTCACAGAAAAGTTGTAAACAGAGTGTTTTGAAAAGGCAGGGGAATCATCAATACTTTGACATGGAAAAGGAAATGAAAGTGTAAAGGCTGAACATATTTCTAATAATAGTGCAGATGTGCTATACCACAACATCTGAATAGCCAATGTTTTTCTTGAGTCTCTTGAAAAAAATATTCTGCAATTGTTTTGTTTTTTTTCTCAATTTAATTTCTAACATGTTATGCTTAATTTAAAAGCCTCCATACATGACAATTTATTCTTCAGCTGCACTGCTTTATACAAATCTAAACAGGAGACAAATAGGAGAAATAACAGCCTTATTAAGAAACCAGTGTTTGTTTAGGTCCACCCAGTGATTTTTATTTTATTTTATTTTTTTATTTATTTATTTTTTTTTAAAGCTACTGGCCTGTTGTCTTGCAAGTAATTTTAGAAGAGCATTGGAACGGTTAGAGCCCATGCTGTAAAATATTCAGTCTGTTTTTTTTGTGTTTTTTTTTCCAAAATCATAACCAAAAGGTGTTTGTTAACATTTAGAAAATGTTGACCGTTAAACTAATTATTTTAACAGTTGGATACTTAAAAAAAGGGATGTATTTTATGTTTTAAACTTGCTACTTTTTTTACTTTTTCTTATAATTAATATTCAATGCATTAAAAAATGTCACATTTTAGTAATACTTGAATGTTTCCTCATTGTTTTATCTCATCTCTCCGCAGAGAACCACATTCTGGAAGATGTGAATAAGTGTGTGATCGCCCTGCAAGAGGGGGATGTGGACACCCTGGACAGGACAGCAGGAGCAATCCGGGGCCGAGCCGCTCGTGTGGTACACATTATTAATGCTGAGATGGAGAACTATGAACCTGGCGTCTACACGGAGCGTGTTCTCGAGTCCATCAAGCTCCTCTCTGAGACAGGTAAGAACAAAGATCACACATGCACCTGGGTCCTGATCTTGTCTCATGCTCACTAAGGCATGAATTTATGGTAGTGATGGGGACAGATGGACAGAGGAGACCAGGAAGCTCTTGGAAGAAGGAAGTTAGAGGAGAGAGGGGGTAGACAGATGAGAAAAGATGGTGAGGCCAGAGATACCACCTGTTCCCTCCTCTGGCACTCATCCTTTGCTCATTCATTTTTCATCTGTTTTCCCCCAACCCCTCCACCTTTGACAGTCTAGTGCCAGCTTTCAAGAGGCGGCAATTTAGACACTGACAGACAAGGCCGAGGGCCAAAATATACCAAGTAATGCAGAGATTTGTGCATAGCCTTCCCAGTGCTTTCAAGACACAATATCTGACAGGAACCAAAAAGGCTGCTGTCTTAGGTGTTAATGTGTGAGAAACATCTCTCAGCCTGACACTTTTTGATGTAGTTGTTCCATCTAAATGCACTTCTACGATTGTTCGGAATCAACAAATGGAGGCTGGCAGGAAAATGAGCACTCAAAATATTATTCTGGCGGCGGGGCTTTGTCCTACCTCCCTTGTTGTGTCTAAAACATTACATTAGACTATTTTGACAGCTGACTTTGTTTAGAAGAGTGAGCGGAATATGAGAGGAAGAAAATAACAGTCCTGCTGTAAGTTGATGCTGCAATATTTTTGTTATCATAAATTACTGCTTTAATCATTTTATTACATCTAGTTTGACAGTAAGGACAAAATAAACAATGAATATTTGTGACTTCTGACCAGCTGAATGTGTCCAAATTGATCTTCCCTAGTTCTTCTCATCATCTTCCACTTATAATGTTTTTTGTTCCTTCACATCACTAGAATATTTAAATGAAGCATTTCGATTTCTCTGTCAAAAACAGCATTAAATTAAGTCAAAGTGACATGATAATGAGTGGTCTGGTGATTTGACCAGTAATCACTTTACACTCAGATCCGATCCGTATGGTCATATGTGTTACACTGCTGCAAAATGAGTCATGTACTTCATGTCACTTATCCACTGAAAAGTATGAAACATTATATTTAATTCACCCTGTTTCACCTACCTCTTAATGAGGACCAAACACTAGCATTTCATAACCGTCTTCAGTAAATTAAAAATAAACCACCTACTTTTGTCCTTTTTTTATATAAAGACAGCACACTCTTTTCCGGAAATCACAAGTTGAACAGTTAATGCTCGCTCAGCTTGAATGTAAAAAACTGTTCTGCTAGTTGCTTCAGCAAAACCAAGAGAAATATCTGCATGCTTGATTGAGAGTGATAATTGAATTGTGAAAGGGCTAGACGCCCAGACTGGCTCTCATCTTGTCTGTATTCACATTGATGAGGTGGTACTTTTCATTTGATTTCACTTTTTCTCTGCTTCTGTCTTTGTTTTGGGATGTTGTTGCCACCCAGGGCTGTCGTCAGGGAAAGGGGCAACTGGAGAAGTTGTTCCAGGCCCTTTAATGAGATGGTCCCACTGAGTTCCTCTGTAATATAGCCTACTCATTAGGCCCAGGGGAGGGCGGGCCACCCATAAAAATTTAGTCCCATGCCCCGTGAACTTAAGTAACAGCCTTGGTGCCACTGCATTAATGGAATTGAACTATAAAGCATTGCAGCATTGATTCTTCTAGACCTTTCATTATTGCACAAGACTTGGCATGCAAAATTTCAATGAATTTTTGAAAGTTTGCATGTTTAGGCCAGACATAGTGTTGGGGTGGGGGCTTAGCCAATTAGCATATTCGAAGTGAATAGCATCTGAACGGGTTTTCCATTTAATTAAGATGTTTGCCACTCAACTAAGTGGCTTTAATCAGCTGAATAATGGAGAAAATGTACAGGTGTAGTGTACAGTTCCAGTGGGCAACTGGAGTAAAACAGCAGGTACTGCTCTGTAGTTTTGTGTTACGACAGATGTTTTTTTTGTGTGTGTGTGTTTTTTTTTTTTGTCTTAGTTTGAATCACTCACAACTCAAGGTCAGGCTATCATTCTAACAAATTACTAAGTTAGTAAAGACTAGCTGTTCCATTTCCAACCGTGTCTGGCACTTTCTTATCAATTTCTTCAACTTTTTGGTTTAGTTCCTTATCGGCAGATGGACATCTTTTAGCCTAATTAGAACATAAACTTTATCCTGTTTTTCCCCCCAAGCCAGTGTACATATAACAGAAGTGCAGCTGGTCCGAAGTCTGTAAAGATACACCGCTAAAGGACCTTCAGCACATAGTGCTCACAAATCTCGAATCGTGTCCTTGAGCTTGGAAATCAATAGTCCAATAGCAAAGCTGTGATGACTTTCCCCTCGCTCTTTATCCTTTCCATCCTCTTCCAGATCCAAACTAATCTTCATGCGGGAAAAATTACCTCATCATTAAGATTATGCTCAGGCTCCCAGTAGATTAAAAATGAGAAATATGGCTGATGTAATAGTGCCAAGTAGAAGGCAGCAGTAGCAATACTGTCATGGAGTATGGCAGAGTGAGTAGGGCTCATGCCAAAGGGTGACCATGCAGAGATGAAATATGGCCACCTAATCATTGCCCTCCGTCTAACACACACACACACAGATTCACGCATGATTTTTATGGCAAATATAGTGTTTCACTGACAGGTTGAAGGCCATGTTTGCTCAGGTACCAAAACAAGAAATGATTTCATACAGCCAAATGACCCCACAAAAACTTTTTCCTCAGCATGTCACGACCCAAGAGTCTGCTTGGTTAGACACAGGAGGCAGCGCTTGCAAAACAACAAGGATAATAGAATCAGTCAATGCCTGCCTACTACAATGAGTCCAGTATTTTGTTATTGAAAAAGAAAACATAAGAAAAAATGCAGATCCTAAAGAAAGGGCAGTGCTAACTAATACTACAGCCTAAGGACCAAAATGTAAGTGAAACCGAAGTACAAGTGACCTCATTGTTGTCAAAGGAATTCCTTCTCCATTTCGAATTACTTTCAGTGTGTTGTAAGACCTATTAGCATTAGGAATGTCTCATTGCTTTTTCAAGTATTTCATTTTGAGCCCATTAGGCTGGTCTGACCTCAGCCTCTCAAACAGAAAAACCCAGTTTGAGCATGCATTATACAATTCACCTCAACATTGTGCAATATCTGAAAACACCATTTGAAGGCTCATAGAACAGATCTGACTGCTTGCTTACTTTATCTGGAGTTAAACACTTAAAGAAAATAATCCCTTCCAACATGGTTTTTATTAGCTCCTTTCATCATTTCTCACTGGTCTGAGTTAAATTTGCTCCTCACTAGCAGCAACTTTACTCATTAATGGCTTGAAGAACATTTAAATATTTATATTTAAAAGTCACAGCAAAATTCCCCTAAGCTCATTTTACGCCTCTCCAATAAGTGGATTAAAATGAATTAAATATGTGTTAAAGCAAGATGGGGTTAGAAAGAAGAAAGGAAATCAAATAAAGAGCCTTTACCGCAGCTTTTTGAATGTTTTGCATAATTTTGTATTTCTTAAAGTATGTGTTCATTTGAAATTCAAATCTGAACTTGTCCATTTAAGAAGGCAAATAGGCAAAATGGCTGTCAGAGAGGATCCTATACTTGTCCCCTTTTAAAGTTAATCTCTAGTCAGATGCCTGTAATCAAAACCATCATGAAAAATCACAAGACCAATTTTTCCCTGGAGATCTGCATCCGCTATTATTGTGAAAGGCTCTCTGGGCTTTGATTTGGTTAGATGGCTGAAGACGGCACTCTAGAATTTTCTTGTCACAGTAGTGTCCTTATAAGACCCACCTTCCCCACGGAGAAGTGTTCCTTGGGTCATAATATCCTAGTTCCTGGCTTGTAAAAAACTAGAGACCTTCCCCTCCTTGATACATTTGTTGAATATTTTAAGAGCATCACTTTGGAGCTTGCTCAAGGGTTTAATACGAGGCTTTTTACTGTGCCCATCTTTTTTTCATCATCCACCAAGTGGTCCTAGGCATTGATATGAGTGTGACTTGATGTCAGGGTTAGATCACAATACGGTCTCCCTCCACCAGTGACATTGCCATGGAAACACAAGACTTCGGATATTTCCCCCTTCCTCGTCGAGTATGCAGGCAGGTCATTCAGTGTCAGGTCTGGAGGTTGAGTGTAAATCAGTGGGCTGCGGAGCACAAAGGAACGCACTTGTTTTGTGCAGTCCAGTTGGAGAAATTAAATCATCAGCTCTATTATTTACTCTGGAGTCATCAAGGTTTAAAGCTTAGGATTACAATAAGGTTGTCGGAGCCCTCTAAAATGATATTAACATTTTATATTGACATTTCACATAAATTAAATTTACTTACAAGTCCATTCACTGTCACGATGCAGGTTTAGCCGTAAGTATTTTGTCAAAACGGTTACACCAAGGGTAAGTGGTCCGAACACCTTTGTTCAGTGTAAACGCTGAAATACGGCTCATCATGAAAACAGATCAAACTGATGTCACATTAGTAGACCTTTCCCAACCCTCTAGCTGCACTCAATCAATGTCTGTCAACATTGTTCGTACTCGACTCTTGTCTTCGTCAAACAATCCCTTATTGCAGCCAGCATTTAGTGCCCATTACTGAGGAACAAGACGGAGGGTGAATTGAAGCAGGGTAAAGTAGAGAGTGATGTAATTATTATTATAATTTTTTATTATTATTATATTATTAGTGTCTAGCGATGCCTCGGCTCACTGATAGTCATGTGTTCCCAGCAAGGTGAAGTGGTTAATTGGCAAACATAGGGCGCCCCTTCCATTTTCAGGGTGACATTTTCTCGTCTTGCTCCATGTCCTCGGGCCTGACTGACAGGGAGGAGACGGCAGAAATAGATGTGCCTGCCTGAATTTCGACACTTAGCTTCTTAAGATCACATATTCTCAATTTTTCTCACCTTTCACTATATCTTCTCTCTGATATGTTTGGCACCTGAGGGGAATGCTGGCTTTTGAGGGATATATGTAATCCCATTTTTTGGAAAATGTTTTTCTGTGTATCTGTCTTTCTGTTTTTGGTTTCTTTCAGCCTCTTGCTCAACTCAATCCTCTGCGTCCTTCTTTTTTTTTTCACCAGTGATGCCACGCTTTGCAGAGCAGGTTGAGGTCGCCATCGAGGCTCTTAGCACCAGCCCCCCGCAGCCATTCGAAGAGAACGAGTTCATTGACGCCTCTCGTCTTGTTTATGACGGAGTGCGTGACATCAGGAAAGCAGTCCTTATGATAAGAGTGAGTATCGTATAAGTTAGAGGACCACACAAGGTCCTTGCTATTCACAAGCGGGGATTTCACTGTACTCATTGCCCAAGTGGTTTGTGTGATAAATAACAAAACAACACATTAAACACATTTCGTGTGAAAATAATGTTGGCGGTTATGACTTCATCATACGGAGCCAGGGTTTTCAACTGAGAGGTCCACAAACGTATTCCTGAGGATCTGTGGATATAATTGTGGGGATATAATGTCTTAATTTTCAAATTATTGTTTGAGTGAACGTTAACTAATGGACTGTTAAGCATTGTGTAATGCAGGGCTTTTGATGCCAGGGACCCCTAAATATAATGATCCAATATAAAGAACCATTTATACTCTGTGAAAAAGTAGTGAGAGTGATATTGTAAAGAAAACATGTTTCAAAAACGAAATAATTGGCTTTTATATTGTCACTTTAATAAAGCCAAAGCAAATTATTAAAATACCATCTTGAGAGTATTTACTTGAATTGAAAATGTTTCTCTTCAGGTTTATAATAAAATACCCCTAAAACGAATCATTTTGTAATAGTATCCCCCCTTGGGGGTTTCCTTAACCCCAGTTTGAAAACCCCTGATGTAATGTAATATAACTTAATGTTGTTAACGAAAGTTACAAATGTTTCTAGAAAAATCTAGCTTTTTCTATTGGGGGTCCCTGGGTCTGTAATGTTTGAAAACCCCTGACATAGAAGATAACAAGTAGATGCACTAGATTATGAATTAATGCTACAAGTTATTATTTATGTGGTATTCAGCATGTCCTTGGTATACAATAAGAATAAGTTATTTTGTTTATGCCTTTGCCTGTTGTGTATATTCTATTTACCAAGAATGTTTTTGGTTCAATATGACTAACAAACACTTGTCTTTTTGTTGCAAAAATACATTTTCTAAGATGCACACTTCCTCCGTGGGAATATCAAGTAATATTGAACAGTGTGTTGTCAGTAAATGATGTCAAGCTGAGCTTGGAGATGGCTTGGAAAAGAGTGATAATTGTAAATATAGATCCTACTTATATTTACTTATATATTGATTCTCCAAACCACCCCCCACCCCAAAAATGAATCACAAAAATAAATCATACAGAGCGTGTATGCTTTCTGCTGCCTAGAAAATTAAAACACGTAACAAAGAACCCTTTGCCAGTTTGCAGTAAGTTACTTAGCTGATTCGATCTATAGTATATCTCAATCGGTAGTTAGTGCCACTGCCGCTCAGAATGTCTGAAACAGTGGCGGCTGTCAAGATACACTGTCTTTTCTTTGTCTCCAATTTGCTCATTAGGCAGTTGGTGGGACTGATGTTGAAACTACTGGTAGGCAGAATACAAGAAAACAGATCACATCTAAACCCCGAAAAACCTACAGGCCTTTCCCCCTTCACATATTGTTTGATCCCACTTTAAGAGGGAACATCTTTTTATATTACTCACAAGAAAGCCAAAAGGGAATTGAAGAACAATGATGCAAGTCACTTGTAACTCAAACTGTGGGACGAATGAATTATTTAGTAAGATTTGACTGGTTTAATGGTTGACACATCTTTATGTTGGATCAGAGGTCTTTCCCTCATTGTGTGGCAACGCACAGCTGCTCGTGATGTCTGCCAAATGTTGTGTCCCAAATTGTCAGCAAGCTGGAGCTCTAGGACAAAGGACATCGGCACTCTAGTAGAGTACCTTTAAAATATAGATGTAAAGTTTAAACAAGGCAAAAGGTTGTTGACGACAGAAACCCACAAGTTAATGTCTCTCCAGACCAGTTTTGAAACTGAAAGTAAAAATGAAATATAGGAAACCTTAAAAGGAATAGCTCACTCAAAAATGTATCACTCACTGTACTCACTCTGTCATCCCAAACCCAGTATGTGCAAAATGTGAATTTTAAATAACCTACTGATTGCTCTTTTCCAACAAATAATAAGAAAAATACACTTTTTTTGTTTTTTTATTTCTTCAAGTATTTATTTTTTCAGTGAAACACCACAAAGGTGTGACAAGAATGGCCTTTTTTTTTTCTTTCTCTTTTCCAGACTCCAGAAGAGTTGGAAGATGACTCTGACTTTGAGCAAGAAGACTATGACGCCCGTAGCCGCACCAGCGTCCAGACAGAAGATGACCAACTTATTGCTGGACAGAGCGCAAGGGTGAGTGACTCCTACGTGACACATGAGCATCTCCTGTTCCTGCTGTCATTTCCAGCAGGTTTACTTTCACAATACAAAACACTTATCACTCCACTGATTGTGTCTGCTGTAAAATTACATCTAGTCTCAGAATAACAAGAGGGCCAGTCACTCAAGTGCATGCACACAACAATGTGTCTTTCACTTTTTCGATAATGAAACATTATTTATCCTCTGCTGCAAATGATGGTGTGAACGTTTTTTGTAGATTTTCTTCCCTCAATACTCAACACTGCAATTACAAAGTATAAAATATACATCCTGTGATGATTACGCTTTACATCAGTTCTGTCACATGGCATCTAACATCTTTATTTATTTATTTCAATATTTAACATAGCAGGGGAGCAGACGCGCATGTTCAAGTCCTCCATATATGAACATTGTAGGTCCCAGTTTAATAAAAACTCTCTGAATAGACTAACTGTGAAAATAAGGTTTTATTGAAGCCTATTGAACTTCCTACGTAAGGGCATTTTAAGGCATGTAGCTCTCAATGCAAAAACACAGATTCTAAGGCAGCACAACAAGTATCCTTATTGAAGAAGGAAATCTTATAAAACGCATCCAAGATGGTGGACTAAGCAAGATAAATTTAATTTGTATTCCTTCACTACAGCAAGGTAGAAAAGAAGTGTAATAAAAAGGCATGTTTTACCTTTTAGCTTAGCAAAATGCTAACAGCTAATTTTGTATAAATAAATTGGGAGTCAAATCTACATTGCACATCAAATTGCTCACAATCGAGTTGCTGCCAATGTAGAATGTTCAGTCACTTATAAGGTTAAATTTTGGAATGTAGGTTTTGAAACAAAGACTACAATATTTAACATAGCAGGGGAGCATGCACCCATTTCCAGCAGAAAATATACAAGAATCATTTTGGTCCTAGTTTTGTAAACTCTCTCTGCAGAGACTGTATAGTAGTTCAAATAAGATTGCAAATGAGACTTCTGGCAATGTCACCCCCTTAGTGTGCCTGTGTCAGCCGGCATTTGACAGCAGAGCTCACTGGGGTTTGAGGCTTAATCCACATTAGTGTATGTGTGAATAGTGCACAGTGGGCTACTTATGAGACATTACAAGAATATCAGTATGTAGCCGTGGAGTACCACTGACTTTCACACGCAAATACACACCATCACTCAGTTTGACACCAATTACTCTTGAGAAGAAATTATCTTCCATGAATGAGAGGAAATGATCATTTGTAAAGAACTAGAAAAAAAATGACCGTGGAAAAACATTTTGCTCAGTAGTAAACTCGGTTCAGTGGAGTTCAAGTAGTATCTTAAGCATAGATGCTGAATGTTACATTGAGTGAATGTGTTTTTGCAAATCAAATATGCGTCACTACTGTTATATTGATATAGTCTGTGACTTAAAATTTTATGGATTTTAAGTTCTCATAAGAGAGAAATAAGAGCAGCCATTTGTTCACTGACTCACACTTTCAGACAGACACATAGAAAATGTTGCTCTATCTCTTAACTCTATGATAGGATAACAGTGCTGATAGGTCAGCCATAAAATTGAACTCCGGTATCTAGGCCATTTTATTTCAAATGAGAAAAATTAAAAAGCTTTTCTGAGGGATTTCTAATCCAGAAGTGCGCAGACGTTCAGCACACAGTATGAGTGTGTTGAATGAATCGGCACCAGTGCGTATGGGGAAGGATTTGTTGGAGCATTAAACTGCTTGCACCCTCTCTTGTTATCGGTTAGGAGCCAGAGAGATTTGGGATAAGTGAATTCTGAGCAAGGCAAGAGGAAAAAATGTGCTCTCTTCCTTCTATTTACCTTCCTTCCATACATCACATCCACTTTTAGGATCAGAGTAGTTGGGATTAACCAAGCAGCAGCTCTTTAATGCTGATTGGCTGCTTCAAAGGTATGTAAAGAGCTGATTGGCTCTTGGGATGGGTATGTTTCTGACTGGATCCACAGGTGGTAAAACAGTGCGGTAATCAATTCCAAGCTAAAACGAGACAACGTTAAATTTAAAAATTGAACTTTAGTCATAACCAAGGAAGCATTTACAATATAATCCTTTCAACTGCTTTTTCAGATGCCATCGCACAGTTATATGGGACATTTATGCAGCAAAAACATGCTATTTTTTCGGACACAGCCACCGTTGCAACAGCCCTCCATTTGAAATGCCCAGGAGTGCACACTATCTGAAAAAGAAATCATATTCATCTTTTAATCACATTTTCTCAGAGGACTTCTTTTCTTTTTAGTGTGTAATTGCTTGTTAAATAAACAAGCAAAAAGCTACAAATCTTAAATGAGCAGCTGGCTCTTAATTAGCTCTTATGTTATGACATCCTTTGGCTATGATGGCGTATCTCCACTAAATTCAGACAAAACTGCGGAAAAGATAATCTGACGGCACAGACTTTTGCAAAACCTTCCTCGGTAATCACACACTTGATGGCATCCAGAGTCCCCTGCTTTGGTTTGGTCCGTCCGCTCTGACAGAATGTTGAACAAATGCATAATTCATTGACTGATGTAAGAAGTGAGGTAATTATACATTTATCTCACAAATAATACTGCGCCTTAACGGTGCCTGTGACCTTGCAGATAGATTAATGCCCTTTCGGACTGGCTCAGAATCGCTACAGAGCGATAATTTATTCCTTGACAAGGAGAGGGGGAAAGAAAAGAGAATGGATTTTCTCTTTATGAGCATGAGATGTCATGGGGTTCCAGAAGGTCTTATGATTAAGTGTTAAGTTTCAAAACCTTATACAGAGGCATTTCAGTGGGGTTAAACCAAGTCAACCTAAATGGAGGGTACTTTCTTTTCAAACTTTTAACCAGAAACAAGGGCATGTGTTGCAAAAAAAAACTTTTGTGACGTGTCTAATTGATCTTTATCTTGTGTCTTATCACTACCCCCCATAGGCTATCATGGCTCAGCTGCCTCAGGAAGAGAAGGCCAAGATTGCCGAACAGGTGGAGAGCTTCAGGCAGGAAAAGAGCAAGCTGGACGCAGAGGTCGCCAAGTGGGACGACAACGGAAACGACATCATCGTGCTGGCCAAACAGATGTGTATGATCATGATGGAGATGACTGACTTCACTAGGTACATCCATCCACATGTCAACAACAAGAATGCTGCAAACATTTAGATAGATAACAATATAAATGCAGAGGGTTCTTGTATCAACCTGAAGGGTTCTTTTTGTGATAAATTACATATTCATTATTCTAATCATTTTTTTTGCTCCACACTCTCTTTCCCTTTCAAAAGGTATTAATATAAAGGTACTAATATGTACCTTTAAAGTGCTAATATGAACTTTTTTCTGAGAGTGTAGCTGCTTGTGTTTCTTTAGTTTCTTCTGATTTGGGATTTGCTAGAATATGTTGGGGGGTTGCTTGCTTTCTGTGCAGCTTGCGTTCTGCCGTTTTGAGGAATCAGCTAATAGAGTAACAATCTGGGTTTTTGTGCCATTGCAGAGGCAAAGGCCCTCTGAAGAACTCCTCTGATGTGATCAATGCTGCAAAGAAAATCGCAGAAGCCGGATCCAGAATGGACAAACTTGCCCGTGCCGTGGCTGACCAGGTCAGAATACCCCCTTTTTTCCCCCATTTATGTCTCTATGAAGATGTGAGATCAAAGCCCTGGGTTGTGTTTAATATAATGAGCTCCTATGTGTTGAATTTATTATTAGATGAGCACCATCTTCAGAACCTGCTGACTGACACTTTTTAACAGTTAATCAACTCTACTACTTGTAAAGAAAAGAAAGGCAAAGGATGTGCCTATGAGTGTGTCAGTGCATGTGTTGATGGCAGCTACTATATCATGCACCATCTGGTTCTTTCCTGCTACTGTATGTAGTGCACTTTCATGTTCTCATATGCACTTCTTTTTCCCCAAGTCATAGTTTTATTTGCTCATAATTAAGTAACCATATGGATCATCTGCAGAGGCTTGATTGTGAATTTGGAAATTGTTGGAAATGAGCCAAACTGCCTACCACCCTGCCTATTTGGGTGAGAAGATAAACTTGGTAGTGAGGGCTGAAAGACTCGCAGAGTTGTTTGTGGTTTTAGTCAAAGGCAAGATGTTGACTTCTGACTGACGGGTAAAAGCAGTGTTGCTGTCCAACTGACAGGCCATGGTGAGGGCAACTGGTTTGTGTGCAGACACGTTTAGACTTCTATCTTTGGTAAACAACAAGGATGTAATGAGAGCACATGCCAAGAACATGACAGGGAATAAGAGAGTATTAAGAGAGAAAATAAAATGAGATTTAGACTAGCAAGCTGCATGTTGACATTGCTTGGTGGAGTCACGCAGGTAGAGTCGCGGGTCTTTAGAGAAGCTTGGTCTTTACACAACGAGGCCTGCTACTGCCGCTACAGTGTTGACCGCTCAATAAATCACCCGACTCCACCTCCCTAATTAACTGCTACTCCAATAGAGAGTTGCATAGATGATGTATTTGTGTAGGCCAAAACCCCAAAACTAGCATTTAATACTACTGGATCCATCGTGTTGAAGTGGGTTTTTGTATGGAGTTTTGGTTAAATGCCTGTAATGATAAATGCTTCTACAACAGAAGATAACTTCAGTAATTTATTATTTATTTATTTATTTATTTATTTATTTAATTATTTGAAAAAGGTGGTTGCTAACATGTGGCTAAATGGGGCTGCAGAGATTGGAAAAATCCTACTGGGAACCAGGGTGATGCTAACTTCCAGGTTGGACTACAAGAAATATATCATCACTGTAGCACTCTATAGGACTGCTATATACCACAGTACTAACTAATTAGCCAATCTTACATTACAAAAAAACTACACGTTTTTGTTTTATCCAGCTGCTCAGTGCAACTTATAACATCCAAGTGAAAGATATAACACCAACATTTCGGGAAAAAAAATTAAAAACCTGAATCACTGAGGTAGAAAAAGGATCACCCCCCTCCTAAAAATGACTTGTAAACTCAAGCAGGTGTAGCTAATCACATTCTCAATAGCACACAAAGCTATTTGACTTACAACTGTGATCAGCTCTGGTCATTTTGACTAGCTCAGCATGAAAAGAGCTTTGATATCACAAATTCTCCACAAATGTGGCTTGTATGGGAGGGTTGCAAGAAAAAGGCACTCCTCAAGAAAGGCCACATGCAGCCACGACTGAGCTTTGCCGAAACACACCTTGAAGATTCGGAGTCAGATGAGACTAAAATTGAATTATTTGGCCTCAACACCAAACGATATGCCTGGCGGAAATCCAATACAGCTCACCATCCAAATAACAGCATTCCTACAGCAAAGCATGGAGGTGGTAATATCCTGTTATGGGGGTGTTTCTCTGCAGCAGGGACTGGAGCACTTGTCAGGATAGGAGGCAAAATGGATGGGGCAAAATACCATCAAATTCTTGAGGAAAATCTGCTTGTCCTCTGCCAGAAAGTTGTCAATGGGAAGAAGGTTTACCTTTCAACATGACAATGACCCAAAGCACACAACAAAACTGAGGACACAGTGGTTGAAGGAGAAAAAGGTGAATGTCCTTGCATGGCCTAGTCTGAGCCCAGACTTAAACCCCATTGACAATCTGTGGAATGACTGGAAGACTGCAGTCCACAAACGGTCACCATCAAATTTAACTGAACTTGAGCAGTTCTGCAAAGAAGAGTGAGCAAATATTGCAAAGTCTAGATGTGCAAAGTTAGTAGAGACAGAGACAGGTCCCAACAGACTAAAGGCTGTAATTAAAGCAAAATATTTTTTTTCCCGACATGTTGGTGTTATATCTTTCACTTGGATGTTCTAAGTTGCACTGAGTAAATACAGCTGGATAAAACAAAAACTGTGTCCATCTTCATTTCAGGCTGCAAAGCAACAACATGTGTTTATTTTAAAGGGGAGTGATTCTTTTCTATACCCACTGTAACAGGAATGACGCTTTTGTTGTCATCAACGCTGGGAGACTGATCAAAAAGATACAAGAAACCTGCTGTGTCACCACTGGCCAGGCCTCATGTTGTTTTTGTTGTTTTCTTGCCGTATTTCTTTTCCCTTAGATAAAGGGAAAAGAGTGAGGGGGAACCCGATCACACTGCTGATCAGAGTGTAATCCGAGTGTACAAGCACACCTGAGATGGCCAGACAGTTCCTGCTTTCCAAAACAGAACACCCCTTTTTTCAGGCCCTTGTGTCCCGCCCATAGCAGCAATCCATGCTCTCCACTGCCACGTGTTGTGTTCATTGGGTAGTCTGAACAGGTGGCTTGACTTGTCCCTTATCATACCATTTTCCCACTAACACAGTATTTACATCTTATGGCCATCTGGGGTTCCCAGGACTTATAAAGGGACTGTATTCATTTCAGAAAGAATCTCTGAGTAGACGGTGTAAAACAGAACCAGGTGCTCAATAATCAAGCTGCTTCTCAGTGCTGGAAAAGACAAAACAATTCAGAAACAACAGCCATCATAGGATACAGTATGCTTAATTTACTGTATATAAAGCTTTGAATGTTTTGGTGCACAATAAGTTAAATGTAAAATGGTAGAATATTGTACAGCTGTGGTTGTCAAACACAATGCTAATTATAACTAATCATATAACAGTTAAAACAGACTTTAAAAAGAAGAACATACTGCTTCATTTACATACAACTGCATGTATTTTGGTGAAAATATCTGCCTAATTTTGTTATGTTCCACAAAATGACAGATTAACTACTATGGACGCAACTGGAAAGAAAATGCAAACATGACTACTACTGCAGTTCAGCTGATCATTAAAAAATCATAATTATTCAAAACTTTTCAGCAGTAGTATACAAGTTAATCAGACAACAGTTGTCCTAAGCCAAACATCTGAGGTGTGCCACACGTACTTCATTCTTCAAATATTCAATTAGGGTCATCTATACTTGGACAGTGTTAAACACTAGCTCAATTACTCAAAAAACCTGCCATAGCTCATTTATAACTGTGCAATTGTTGCATACTGTTTCACACTTTATGTATTTATTTAATTTTAATACTGTGCATTAAGACCAAAACAGTGCATCATTTCATTCCATACATTAGCCATAGTTATCATCAACAGACACTTACTTGAATGTTCTCCTCCCCATTGCTTTAGCTGGACAGCGCTACATCCCTCATCCAGGCGGCCAAGAACTTGATGAATGCCGTGGTCCTCACAGTCAAGGCCTCCTATGTGGCTTCCACCAAGTACCAGAAGGTGTACGGCACGGCGGCGGTCAATTCCCCGGTGGTGTCCTGGCGCATGAAGGCCCCGGAGAAGAAACCCCTGGTGAAGAGAGAGAAACCAGAGGAGTGCCAGACCCGTGTCAGGCGAGGCTCGCAGAAGAAACACATATCCCCCGTCCAAGCCCTCAGCGAATTCAAGGCCATGGACTCCTTTTAACTCCGCACCACAGATGCCCAAAACTCCTCCTCCTCCTCCTTCTCTCTTGATTTCTTCTCCTCTCCTTGTTACGGCTTATTTTCTTGGAACTGTATCTTGTTCCATGCAGCGACGTGTGTGTATGTGCCCAGTAAATGTCTGTGAGTTGGAGGGTTTGGCCACCCATCCTCTTTGAAACAAATTTCACTGTAAATTTGAGAAACAAACAAACTCGTGACGGAAACGTTTACAGTGCAGGCTGCGGTACAATTCATGTGGCGTTCATTCTCGCTGACTGGCCATATATACACAGATATATTAAATAATATAATTTATGGTACAGTAGTGTCAGCCCTAACCGAGGCAGAGGTGCTGCTTTCCTTCCTAATGATTTTTTATTATTATTATTTAAAATGAATATGACCCATAGTAATAGGAATAACTTATGTTGAAACAAGATTCTTCCTTCCCAGTTATCCATATGGTGACCTGATGCACTAGTTTTTGCATTTAAAAATAAATTTATTTAATTATATTACTGTATGACTAACCACGGCAGTCAGGTTGGCTATAGTATTACATTTAGAAAAGGACTAGTTGTGTGGTTTGCTCAGAGACTAGTAGAGTCCTGCATACTTTATAGTCCTGATTCTCTAATAAACCTTGCAACTCTGTGTGTCGATTCGAGTTATTTTCCTAACTGTTCCATTCAGCTTTATGATGGACAACAAGCGACCGTTGCACCAGCACCTGATGTACTATTTTTGATGGCGCAAACCCATTTTCTAATTAATTAATGGTACTTACTGTGTGTTTGACAAACAAGATCTTCTATCAAGCTCATATCCGTCACCAAACAAGTTTTGTGTTTGCCACACGCCATGTTCTGAAATTGCTTCTCTGTGTCCGTAAACATTTTTGGTAAATGAGGTAATCACAAATAAAAGTTTGTTGTTTGTGGGTAACTTTGAGATTACAAATAAGCGCCGGGTTTAATTATTCAGTGAATACTAAAAATTTTATCTTTGAGTTCAGCTCATAAAAAATGGGGGCAAAAACAAAAGTGTTGCGTTTATAATTTTGTTCAGTGTATTTAAAATATTTTAAAGACCTTTTGTTTTAAAGCAGTTTTGTTGGGTTGCAAAGCCACTGCCATAGAGGACTGCCAGGCTGGGCCACAGTGGTGTTTGTGTGGTCATGACAGCAGTCAGCCGTCCTCAGAATCACACGCAAGCAGCTCCTGTAACTGCTGCACTTGACACAGCAGACCTAAAGCTGCTGGGCCCTGGAGGTGAGAATAGAGGGTTCTATATTTCTCCATTTCCCCATTGTCATCCTCCGGCACAGCGAGAGGTTGCCTCCTGAAGAGAGACACTCGATCGCTGAACACTAAGGACGTCACAGCTGCTCAGCCGTGTCAAAGATAAAGCAGCTTCAACAGTTATTAAATGTGTCTCATCAGTCTTTTTCACTCAAAGTTCATGTGACGCTAAGGGAGAAAAAATTGGAGCCAACTATTTAACAACTTCTGACAGGACTTATTACTTTATGCAAAGTCGCTGAGTTAACCACTGTGTTAGAAGTGTGTCAAAGCGGTAATCTTGTCTTGGCATGCGAGGTGCTGTATGTGCAAAATTATTATTTTTCCAAAAAGTCTTGACATTAAATTGAAAGTGCTCATCTATGGTTTCGAATGGGAGCCAGAAAAAGTGTCGTTCTTACATGTAAATGCACTACACAGAATGAACCAAGTAGAAAAATAGACAACCATTTTCTTATTGACAAATTCATTTGATATTGCATTCTTCACATTACAGTTTTGATGTGTTAAAGAAGAACAAACACAACAGATCCAATTTCCAGAGAGATATATTTGGAGGATGGGCATATGCTAACAAATTTAGGATTTGTGTGCTTACAAATAGTTATCAAAACAGTGAAAGTCAGTTAAATTATATAAATAAAGGCAAATAATGTAAAACTGGTCTGATCTCAATGCAAAGTCTGTACACATTACCAATTCGATTATGCCAAAGTCCTGGCTCATGAATATTTAAGTAGTTTGTGACTGCAGGAAGGTTACACAACAACATATAATCATGACCTAATAAATATTCATGAGATAAGCAATCGCTGTGTCATGACATCAGAAACAGTCCATGCATCTCTCCCCACTGGCTTCATAACATGTAAAGGAAAATAAGGCTATTTTATTTACTGTAATATGGGCTGCTGTTCATTATAAAATGTTTCCTCGAACCCTCAGGGATGAGAAGTACTTTCCATTTCATTGTGCTAATCATCAGCAATCATGATGATAGCAGGAGATTTACGAATGAGCCTACTTTAGCCAATATGTGATGATGACAAACCTCTGAGTCATCTTCAAGATGGAGCTAATTTCATCTTCAGTCATCGTCGCTTCACCCTCCTCACCTCATATTTGCTCTACCCAGTGAATATGTAAAGGTCAAGTGTCTGCCATGTATTCCCATCTCTTTTAGTGCCCAGACTCAGCCTGTAAGCAGGACTTATTGGCGTACCTACAGAGAATCGCCCTCTACTGCCACCAGCTCAACATCTGCAGCAAGGTCAAGGCTGAGGTTCAGAACCTGGGAGGAGAACTCATTGTTTCAGGGGTAAGGTGATTTTGGGCATACAGATTTTGATTCAATGACCATGTTTGTTTGTTTTATGTGCTTTAAAAGTTTGATTTCAAACTGACTGAAACAATAATGTTGTCTTTTTAAAATGTCATGTAAATGCGGTCACACTACACTTATGTTCCATTGATTTCTATTCATACATACGTAAATATGGGAAAACGGCAACACAAGCTCCAAAGTACTGATCTGTGAATTAGTTTCATGTTAAGACTTGTGACCAATAGAAGATCAATACACATAGGTTGTATATATTTACATTTTGTATTTATTATTATTTATTTTTCTGTCATATCACGACCATTGCGGTGTCCAAAGAAATTTTCACAGCTTTAGTTTGACTGAAATCGCACTAGTCGGTCTAACAGACCTAGATAATGGGCTTCGTCCAGCATGAGCACTACCGGTCAAAAGTTAAGAATAATTTAGATTTTTGTGGGAAATGTTATAAGATTAAATTAATCAAAGTGACAGTAAAGACACTTATAATGTTACAGATGATTTCTATTTTAAATAAATGCTGTTCTTTTGAACTTTCTATTGATCAAAAACTGCAGCAAATCAGCATATTAGAACAATTTCTGAAGATAATGTGACACTTATTTTAAATTGTAAATTATAATATTCACTGTATTACTGTTTTGTTTTTTGTTGTTGTGTATATATCTGTTGATGGAAAAGCGGAACATTCATGCCACTATCACAGGTAAAGACTTTTCTTACTTAAAAAAAACAGTTCACCCAAAAATAAAAAATGTATTTACTATCATGCTGTTCCAAATCCGTATTACATTCTTCTGTCTTTTGCATACGTTTTTTTTTTTTTTTTTTTTTAAATACCTCGTAATATTAGTTTTATCTGGTGACATATACGGGACTTCTCTAATCATTTAGTCTGCTTAAATCTGCCCCTGCAAACTTGCATTAAGGTATTTTTACACAACAACAATGTACTACAAAAATAGAGAAGTTTTGTGTATAGACGACAAAGTTGTCAAAACGATCCCCATTCACACCAATCCGTGAAAACTACTAAAAACACTGCATTATGCATGCTAGGCCAGTAGTTGTAAAGAAACTTGTGCATACCTTTAGACTGAACACATAATACACCTGCGCATGACATCACCGGGTTCACAAATTGTTGTTTTTCATTTTAGACGGAAATGAAAACGGTATTGTTTCCAAAAACATGTCCAGTCATAAGGGTCAATTTTTTTAAATTGAGATTTAGCTGAATAAATAAGCTTTCCATTGATGTATGGTTTGTTAGGATAGGACAATATTTGGCCGAGATACAACTATTTGAAAATCTGGATTCTGAGGGTGCAAAAAAATCAAAATACTGAGAAAATCGCCTTTAAAGTTGTCCAAATGAAGTTCTTTGAAGAATGATTTTTGCCATAAAAGAAAAATCAATCATTTTGACCCATACAAGGTTTTTTTTTTTTGGCTATTGCTAAAAATATATTTAAGCGACTAATATTGTCCTATCCTAAAAAAAAAACATACATCAATGGAAAGCTTATTTATTCAGCTTTCAGATGATGTATAAATCTCAATTTCGAAAAATTGACCCTTATGACTGGTTTTGTGGTCCAGGGTCACAATTACATTAAGAATGACAATTTGGAGTGAGTGTCTCAAAAGGTCCACATTGTTGTTCCTTTTATGTAATTATCTTAGGGCTACAATTTGCTGACCACGATGAGAGAAACAAGCCTTCAGCTCACAGTCCGAGCCGTGTTAACAGGATTTTTATATTTTTTTTGTTTTAAATGACAAGAAGGTAAGTACGCCAGTGCAACACTGCGACCCCCTCCTGACTTCATGTGTGCTGAAAAGTTTCCAGCCATTTCTCTGGGATTAATACAGTGATCTGCACCTAGTGAAACTCATTGCCAAAGGATTAGCTGCAAGACTGCTGTGCCAATATCTGCCATTTACCTTAATTAAAATCTCCTTTAGCCATGATTTATGTCACAACATGCAGCATGAAAACTTTGAGACGTTCTTTGTTTGATAGTTTAGTTGGATTTCAGAACAACCATGCAACAGAAACAATATCCACTGCATAAATGTAGAAGGTAAAGGGTACAGCACCACAAGAAAAATAACTCCTATCAAGTCACACTTCATTCCAGTTCTCACTATTACTGTAACTAACTATTAACTATGAATTTTGCTTCAATGTACTCCTAATTTGTAGCTAGTAAGTTTAGGTATATAAGCCATAAGTCAGAATAAGCCATTAATATGTGCTTTATATCTAACCTGAACGTTATAAGCCCCTTAATAAACTGTATTACAAATTATTTTCCTTAATATAAATAATACATGTAAAAAATTAAAATAAAACTATGAAATATTTTAGATTTGTAAAAAAACAACAACTATTGCTTAATGTAAAATACTAAAATATAGATAGATAGCCTGAGCCTTGATTTTTTTCAATGGCAGACATAGATGAAGTGTGCTTTTTAGAACTAGATCACTTCATTCATTCGTCGGACTGGTTAAAATTTTCAAATGTGTCAAATTTGAACTTGTTTACACTTTTTGTTGAAATTTAAAAAATGTCTCAATTGTTTTACATGTCGACATGGGGTTGAGAAATTATTTTAACATCAAAAAGGGGAGACCTCACCTTTAACTTTGAAGGCTGCGGTGCTTTTGTAGCAGATATTATTCAGGCTCTAGTTTACCTCAGCACTGGATATAAACAAAAGCAGTATGGAGATTGTTTCAATCAGATTCACACATGCTAAATGGCAGTACTTGAATGAGCTTCAGGCCATGATAATTCTCTTTAAAGCACTGCCATCTTATGCAAAAGGAATTTTTGAATATGCCGTTGCATATTTAATGGCCAACTTGTTTCACAGATGTTTCTCCAAACATTCGTACCTCATAAGAGGGATTCAATTGCTATTTCATCAAACCACTCACGTCTTTTGTTTTTATAATACAATATGCAGCTCATAGCAAAGCTTTGATGT